CGCGTAATTCGATTGGCTAATTGTGTACAAGCCCCGCCTACCAAGGCATTGATTGGTTACTCTTCTCTTCTTTCATAATAAAGGCATAGCTTGACACGCTCTCTAGATGCAACACGTTTGGTGCTTTTTAAAATACGATTTAAAAGTTCAAGGCACCTAAAGATATATGACATTCAAAGGGATTACGATAGGGATGATTTTTTTTAAAGTTATGCAACAATAAAAAGTACCAGTGTTGTGTTGCGTTTAGATGAGTATCTCCGGAAGACCGTCCCCTGTTTGGGGAGTGTGCACAAAAAGCAGGGCATTGAATTCAGCAAACATCACTACAAGAATATATGCCTTTTTTATTATTAAAATTAGTTTTTTTAAGTTCACTTGAATGCAGTAATTTAGATTTGCTTTGTGCGCACTCCCGAGACAGGGGTCACAAATTCCATTGGTGATAATTACCTTGGCACATGTCTGCTTTCAGTCATTACACAACTCACTACAACACTATCCAATCCTCTGTGGACTAAAGTACACMGAATAAAAAGTTGTTACCGAATAGATTGGTTACACAAAGTTGCATTACTACTTCTGGAGTTGTTGCTGCCAGCAGTGTATAAACAAAAGTTAATATTTCAGCATTTTTTTCTTTTAGTAAAATTGTAAAAGTACAGTCATTGCACAAGGGGACAGGGAGGTGCAGAAAGCTTAAAAAATGAAAGGGCAATATAGAACACAACCATGTTTCCAGAGATCAAAAAGTTTAAATTATTTTTAAAAAGGCAATAAATAAATAACCGATTAACTTGGTTTATAAAATATTTTTTAAAGACCATATAGAGAGGGTCAGGGGTGTAAAGGTAAAGATTGTAAGGTCAAATAAATAGTTTTATTCTAATTTTATGCTACTTCTTTAGAAGCAGAGGAGCAGCAGCTTTACAGTCCTCTGAGCTCCAAGATTACAAAACTCCTCACCTTATCTCTAAGGCTGACCACCTCCGCCTGCTTATTCAGATGCTTTTATGGGATCTGTTTATTTGAGTCATGATCAGTGACCATAAGGGGATGAAACAGAGACAGCTGAGAGCTTTTGGCTCATCTCCTTCTTCTTCATGACAGATCAGACTCTTTTCATCAAATAAAGACTGCAGGTAAGAGAAGACACGTGTCAAACTGAAGGCCAGCATGTAGATTCTGCCCTCTTTATCATTTTATCTGGCCCCAAAGTTAATAATTTAAATATTAAAAAGTTGTATGGTTTCTAATTTTGTCCCTGTCCTTAGTGCTGTCTTCTCACGAAAGTTGGCCAATTTTCTTGCCATGAAAATGAAGTTGGAATTTTTCAGTAATCTTTGATTTTGGTGTGAAAAGAGAACTGGAATCAACTTTAAATATCATTTTTTCTGTATTCTTTTCTTCATATTAAAGTCAAATAATTAGATTTTTAAAGCGTTTCCCCTTGATTGTCTGGAGTGTGATAAAATGTATCTCTAAGAAATAATAAATAAAAAAGTTAATAGTACATATGTTGTTCAGAGT